CTGCCAGGATGCGGCTGGTGCCGTCCCCAGGGCCCCGGTTCTACCCTTTTTTCAGACAAGAGAGGCTTGGAGAGGGGAGCAATGTCTGCCTCCTGGGCACTCGGAGCTGATCAGCGGTTGAGGCAGATGGGCCACCGCACTGGAATGAGCACGCCATCACCAGCCTGGCACCGAGCCCAGCATAACGTGCCCGAGGAAGCAGCTGAGGAGGACCTTTCTGGCTGCCGGCCCTGGGGAGACTCAGACAAATGGAAGCAACTGAAGGAAAGCAGGACGAGAGGGCGGCTGTGCTGAAAGACACGTGTCTGCCATCTAGTGCTAAGCGTGACAGGAAGACAAAGGAGACCCTGTGAGCACACAGAAGACGTGCAGGAAAGGCGTCCAAGGGTAAAGGAGAGGGGCCCGAGCCATGTGAGAAGCACGCCAGGTGCAGGGGAGATTACGGAGCAGAAGATGACAAAGCACACGCTGGGGGGTACCGAAAGGAGAATGTTCTTGGGAGCTAAGATAAATGGCAAGGATGATGCCAAGTACACGAGGGGCAGGAGGTCACTGACGGAAGGGGAGGGGTCTGTAAGGTAAGCAGTAGGGAAATTGATTGACAGGGGTCATAAAGGTAGCTAAAAAATTAAATGAATTCCTTGCTGCGGCGCTCACAAAGGAAGATGAGAGGCAGATGCCAGCAGCAGACAGACACCCCCCAGAGGACAGGGATGAAATGCTGCAGGAAATCAGAAGTGTGCCGAAACAGGTGATCAAGAAATGTGAACGTCTGCCATTGCTGGGGCTGCTGTCACCCGAGAGCCCGGTGGCCGGGAAGCGGGGAAATTAGCACGCAGCTGACGCACGTGGGCCTCGCACGCAGGACAGCCTGGCCTCGGGGGCAGGACACATGTCTACACTGCACAAGGGATCCTGGGCTGGTTTAGCTCCGGGGGGGGCGGGTGCTCTGCTATTCCAGCAGCGGGAGGGATGTGGGGGTCGGGGTGGTTTTTAGGCTCACAGCCGCACGGCTGCTGGTAGCTCCCCCGCCCCAGGACACACTGCGCAGGCTACTTCCCACCTTCTGTCCAAACAGCCTAAACCCCCGACCCCCGACCATGCTCCTCAAGTCATAGGCACCTCTGAGCAACGCTCCCCCTGCCATCCCCTGCCTGACCTCCTCTCCGGATGGGGCAGCACCTGCAGAAAACGGTCTTCCATGGGGGATGGGGCAAAGTGACTCACCCACACTTCTCTTTCCATTACCCACATCTGCTAAAAACCAATTCCATCTACACTTCTTGAAATTACCAAAAGCCCTTGGTAACAGTATCTAAAGGTCCCAGCTCTGACTAAACGAAGGCCCCTGACGTCACTTGGCAAACAAGCAGTGACGGGCTGAGGAAACCCTGCTTCTCACTCTACGACCCTCACCTGTGAGAAAGAAGCACCCTGACCCCAATATTCTCCTTGACGGCGGGGTTCTGGCTTCCATGGGACTAGGAATGGGGCTTGTCCTGGACCCCGCAGATGTTTTCATTTCCTGACTGTGCCCCCAGCCTCCTTTCCCTGGCTGTCTGGGCCATCTGAGCTCTGCTCCGGGGCTGCTTCCCCCCAGGACTCCTGCTCGAGCAACCTTAGTCACCCCTCTTCCCCTAGTGCAACCTTGTCTCTCACACCTCTGAACATCACCACACCGACGTATACACATTCCCACTCTTCTCTAAGATAGCTGATACTTTGTCCAAAATGATGCCCCAGAAACTAGCATGCTGCAGAAAAGAATGCTCTGAGAGTTTGCTATATTCCGGATTCCCAGGAGACTCAGCACTTCTGGGTCTTCTCATGTGCTGAGAAAGGCAGTTTGTGGGTCTTGCCTTATGATCCCGTTCATTATTTACTTTATGCTTTAGGACGTTCCCCAGTTGGCAACACCACATTGAGGATTTCTTCCCCGAACAGTAAGTGACTCAGTAAGGGCAGCTGAGCAAGTTGCTCATCAGCCAAATGCAACAGATCACCAATTAATTAGCGGCCTACTAGTCAACCCGTTCAAACGGGCTGGTCAATGGGGTTAGAGCTCCCTGCCCAGACAGTTCAGGAAACTCATCCAGGAAGAGACAATCTTGCACTCCAACTTCAGGGTTCTGTAATGGGAAACTGTTCTTCATGTGGTCACTGAGGTGATAGGATTGGGGCTAAACTCTGGGAGACCCTCATCAGACTCACCCCAGTGCTCCTTGGCCTTCTCTGACCTAGAATTCCTTCTGCTGAAATACCTAACTGCAAAATCCCATGGAGGAATTAAAGGTAAATACTAAATCAAGGTAAAATTGAATATTTTTCATTTTCAGTCACTTATTTCTTATGTAGTATATCCAAAAAAACCTAGGGTTTTTTTTTTTATGTAAAGATAAATTGTTTTCCAATTTGGTACAAAATAAACACATAAAAATCGGGATTTATTGGCAAAATTTTAAAAATATGCTGAGTAATGTATGAAATTGTTGAATCACTACATTGTACCCCTAAAACTAATATAACACTATGTTAACTATACTGGAATTTAAATTTTTAAAAAAGAAAAAAATGTTTAAAAATATGATGGTATTTGGTTTGGGGCTCAAATATACATTAAAATACAGATTCAAATTTACTTTTGTTACCTCATCAAAAAAAAATGCTTTTTATGACCTGATGTTTAGAGTTCTTTAATTTTGTGCCTTAAAAAAATCTCAATTTGTTTACTTTTGTAATTTTCAGGTTTGTGAAATGAAGAGGTAAGAGAGAAAGTTTCAGGCTTCTGTTTATCAGCTCTTCTCTGCAAGAAACACATTGTAGGCATGTATCATTTTTGTTCTAAATGAATAAAAACGCAAAATGAATATAAATTATCACAATATTTTCACTTTTAAAAATGCGTTTGAAGTACCCGAAACACCTTGACGTGTTCTGGAGAATTCTGATTTGACAAACACAATGCATGAATCGGGCCAGCTATATAATGTGCAGGGCTCAGCACAAAATGAAAATGTAAAGCCTCTCATTCAAAAAGCAGGAAAAAAAGCTTCTTCTTTCCTCCCACAGTTTCTCTCCTGACCTGACACAGGGTTTTCCTTTGTTACTTCATGTTGTAATCCCTCAGTCAGGGGAACTCCTAAGGCCAGGGCAGACCCTCACAGGCGCCCGGGGCTCTATCCTGTGACTCAGGTGAGATTCATACCAGACCCAGACCCTCCCTGCAAACATGCTGGGCCCCCACAGGGAGTGGAGGGTGGCAGTGGTCATGAGGAGGCTAGAAGGGGGAGGCTGGGCAGGTCCAGGCACCAGGGGTAAGGGGGTGGGTGGCTGAGAACCTGTCCTGGGAAGGCCAGAGGGGGCAGAGATGGGCCTGTGTGGGAGCTGAGGCTCCCAGCCCCTGGTGAATGCTCCATTGTCCCATGCAGCTGCCCCTTTAAAGACAAATTCATAGGTAAAATTATGAAGAATTCAAGATGGTGCTGGTGAGCATTAAACCCCAAGCACAGAGCCCCCTTCTGGGTGTGGAGCCCCACGCAACTGCCCTGGTCACATGCCCAGGAAGCCAGTCCCAGACAGATCTGAGAAAGAGCAGCTTAAGGTGAAGCTGTAGAGTGGTTACTATTTTGATGCCTTTCATTTCCCTCTTGAGTTTCAGCCTTACTCTTCCTTATGATTCCGGTCTTTAACCAGCAGTCTGTCAGAGGTTCACACTAAACACACACGACTGCATAAAAAGCAAGGGCGTGATAAGCAGATGAAGTCAACAGCATGGCCGTACGCGAGATACCCCTGTCTCGCCATTAGTGCTCACTCAACACCCACTCAAAGAACAGGAAAGGTAAGTAGTTAACTTATAGTTGATTGACACTAGTCTCACCTTAGATGGTGTGCGTGAATGCCCAGGTGCCTCCGTAAGCCCACTGGGAATCCATACTGTGGCGGGGGAGGGCAGTCCAAGTATGTCTAGCTCAGTCCTGGTTTACACTTGCTGTCCTGGTATAATTATTAATAGTGCCCTCCCTCACACGCAGGTGTCCTAGTTTCTCTATTCACCAAGGGCACTGTTTTCTCTTTTTTTTTTTCTTCTTCATTTATTTTTAGTATTTTAAAAAAGATTTTATTTATTTGAAAGAGAGAGAGGGTGCATGAGAGCAAGTAGGGAGAGGGGCAGAAGGAGAGGGAGAGAGAGAATCTTAAGCAGGCTTCATGCCCAGTGTGGAGCCTGACTCGGGGCTCGATCCCACGACCCTAAGACCATGACCTGAGTCAAAATCAAGAATCGATGCTTAACTGACTGAGCCACCCAGACACCTCCTGTCCTCTGTTTTCTGATCCAGACGAACCCCAGTGCATTTCTCTGGGGCCATTTACATTCCGGAGAAAATAGCATGGCAATGTTCAAGGCTCAGGCCCTCACCTGACTGCTGCCCTGACTGTGGGTGCTCCAAATGGGGCAAAACAACCAGCCTACTCTTCCCTTATGAAATCCCAAAGTGAAGGAACAGTACAAACGGCATGGTCCCCTGGAATGATCCAGGCCTGGACGCCAGGGGAGGAACAGGCCCATTCATAAGCATTTCTGTGCAGCCTGGCATAGGACGGGATAGACAGAAAACCAGCAACTGTCTGGGGCCGAGTTTCCTTAAACACCACGTTCAGAGGGCCAAGCGACCTCTGAAATAGCTGTCGTCTGGGAGGGTGGAAGACTCTGAGGACAGGGCATGTGCCCTTTCAAGGTCTCTGTGGTCACCAATTCCACAGGGAGGCTGGTGGGGGAAAGCAAAGCCATAGGAGTTGGCTTTCATTTCCTAGTGAAGAGACATCTAGAAATGATAATGATATCTCTACTGTACAAGAGCAGGACTTTCTTCTGTACCAAGCTGTCTGAACAACAGGCCATTAGTGGGGAGAACAAACAGTTCCACTTAGCTCGGGATGTAGCATTTACCTGTCCATCATGAAACAGCATGGTGTTGCTCACGAACGGAGACCCTTACCTCATTTGCTGTGTTGTGTGTTCCCACGATTCGGATGAAGGAGGCGGGCTGTCTTTCAAAAGTTACAGACTGCCAGGACCTGTGAGAGGAAGCACAACCATATGCCTGGTTAGACGGTACAGTTAACTGGGCCAGCAGCGCAGGCGGAAGGAGCTAGATGCTGAGGTTCCTGTCCTCCATCCTCAGGAGGCCTGTGACATAGGATGGATGGGGGAATGGAACGGTGGTCCACCTCATGTGTGTCTGAGGGAGGCGGTCAGTAGCTAGGGTCCCCATTCAGAGCGCTCCTACCTTCTGTGACGGCAACTGGGATTCTTACAAAGCTCCCCATAAACAGGCACAAAGTACAGTCCAAGTTCACACTGCGACACGAATGTGGCCAAAGAGAAAAGTGATCAAGGTCGGTGGGGGTTCATCCAATACATTTCCTCATCTGTGAGACGGACCCACCTCAGGGGGCTGTTGGTTGAGTGGGTGCACGTCTGAGAGGCGTGGGGGGGTTCTGGGAGAAGGGTTTTGAACCAGGGCAGGAATGTGGACTGGGTGGGGCAGGGCAAGGGGAGGGAGAAGTGGGGGTCACCCATTGCCAATGTGAACCCCAGGCTCTTCTGTCTGAACCCTGCCCCAGGCAGGGCATGGCACCCGGGGAAGAAGAGGCGGTTTTTTCACACGCCTCCCCTTTCCTGCTTCCAAATGCATCCCCCCACCCCCCAGGGCTTATTCTCAGGACCAGCCAGACTCTGGGTGGGCTCAAAAGCCAGCTCATTTAAAGCCCAGCCAAGCAGGCCCTAAACAGCCCCGGAGAGGAGGAGCTCTGCTCTTGGTTTAACCCTCACAGCTCATCAGAATGCGCTGGAGGAGAGCACGGCACCCATGACTGTAAACTCCAATAATATTTTCTGTAATAAATGTGAGGAGTTCACAGTTGTTGCCGTCCCTCCTCCACTCACACAGTGGAAATGCCAACTGCTGGGAAGCTGTTTCCTGTAATTGTCTAATTACCAAGTAATGCTACCAAAGAAAATGTATGTGTTTGTGGTTTGTTTTTTCCCCCTTTAGTTTCAGGTGTTCCAGCTTCTCTCTCACTGTGAGCCTCCCACTGAGATTGATTCACTGCTGCCCGGACACCCAGGCCCCTTAAGGTCATTAAAAAGTCATTACCATCCTGTGTGCAAAGTCTGTGCCTCTGAAAGCAGGTTTCTGGAAATAGCATAAGAAAAATCACTCTCTTTGTAAAAATGCTATCATTCATACATGAAGGTGATGCCATCTGACCATCCCTAGAAGCCTGCACTCTTGGCCCATTTTCTCGGTGGAGGACTGTTTTGCTCCCAGACCCACACAGCTCCCTTGGGGCCTCTGCGGGGTGGGATGCAGCCTGTGGGCTGGGGCAGGCCTACAAGAGGCCCTGTGGGGCTTTTGGCCCTGGGCCTGGGCTCCCACAGGCCTACCCGGCACTTCTGAGCCAAGCTGTGTGGCTGACAGACAGGCGTGCTTCCTCCGGCAGGTCAAGTGAGGGGTCCATGCAGTGTGGGGCAGCCGACGCCCATCCCATCTCCTAAGGGAAGCTACGGCACACACCAAGGCTGGGCCACCGCCTGCGTCTCAGACCAGCCCTCTAGGAAAGGGAGACAGGGCCAGGACAAGTGATAGCCGCCAACGACAACTATCATGTTCAAGTCAGCTTCACAAAAAGGACTGGGGTGCAGAGGGGCTGGGCCGTGGCGGAGGTGAGGATTGTGTTCTTAGATTTCTGGCTGCATGCCTATCCAGAAAATCTTCAAGTGCTTCTGGACGTGGAGGTGAAACTTGGCACTTACAAGCGGATGATCCTCAACAACATGCTCGTGGCTCCGAGGGTGCAGGCGGATCCAAATTATGCCTCCTGTGGTCCAACCCCTGCTCCCCCCACAACACGGTGGGGACCCCAAGGCAGTGAAGGAAGGGAGGGCTGGCCGGGAGCGGCCCTGGGCAGAGCGAGGCTCCTGCTGCGGGCTCGGGGCTTGGACACCTCCGCCCCTTGCCTGTGCCTGGGGAAGCGGGGCTGGCTGGGCAGCAGCCTGAGCAGGGAGGGAGCATTTGTGGAGTAATAAGATCAGAAGGCCTCAATTTAATACCAATCCACCATTACACTGCATTAATATCTAATCACATTAGAGTTCATTTTCACTAACACAGCCTGAGAGTTGAAAGACGATTTCATTTTCAGCAAAACTGGATACCAACCCTAAAACAAAATATCAGTAGGAAGGGACGTTGGTTAGGATGAGGTAATGGGCATCTCTCTCCCTCCTCAAATATCAGATACCATTTGCCCTCAACTGCTTCCAAACAACTTTAAATGCTGCTCGACGGGGAAATGATAAGGGGGCACCAGAAGTCCACGTCGGGGCCACATACGCAATCACTGTGTGACTTGAGGACCTCACGGTGCCAGGGAACTACCGCCATCATTCGGTCCCCGAGAGGCTCCACTGCCATTTTTACTGAGCTTTCCTGAGAGCTGTATAAAATGTCCCTCCTTGCCAAGTACCCTGGGTCCCTTCCTCAGTGGGCAACATGCCCAGGAAGATGACGGGGCCGCAGGGGTGCAGCACCCCCCTGGTGCATGGCCAAGACTGGGTGATGGGAGGGAGTGTCTTCACAGGAGCAATGGGTGTGGAGAATATGTGTGGCCTCTGCTTTGAGCACTTGGGACAAAACAGAAAGCCCCACCCTGGACTGAAGTCCCAAGGCTGACGCCGGAGGCTGGGCTCCCCTCTCCTGAGCTCCAGTCTCCTGTCCAATACTGGTCACCGAAGAGCATCTCGAGGGAGGTCCCAAGTACAGGAGACTGTAAATACGTATCTACACACAGATGTGTTCAGAGGGACGTATTTATAGGCATGTTTGCCAAAATGTTGATCAAGACTTCAGCTTTGGATGAAAGAATTTCCAGACCCATCTCCTAGACTTTTGTACTTTTCTGTACTGTCTGAATTTGGTAGGATATACATGTAAGCATTTTTTTTTAAAAAAAGTACCTATCTTGCCTACTGCTCAAGGCTTTAATACAGATCATGAACAAGAGGTGGTTTGGCACATTGGTTGACACCACGGGCTCTGGGTTAGAATCTCCATTTTGCCCTTTTCCCGGCTCTGTGACCTTAGGCAAGCTGCTTAACCTCTCTGGGCTTCAGTCTCCTCATCTGTAAAATGAAGATAATAAAAATATCTAACTTTTTTTGGTGACGATTAGATATATGAACAAATATAAAACATCTAGAACAAAGTGCTAACTGCTCAAGTACTAAAAAAAAATTAGATGGTATTGTTATTACTATTACAAGTACCATTCAGCCAAATGAATCTGGATAAGACACACTGCTTTCCGGGCCTCATTTGTGAGGCATGTTTGCTAGTATATGATTTACTGACTACAGCATGGGTTCCCAGGGGCACCCAAGGCACTCCCATCAGCACCCATTTCTTGGAGGCAGACAAGGCAGCTGGGCTTTGGAAAAATTAAGCAAGCATTTATTCAATATACTCCTGAGCCTGGCACCCGAGTGTTATGGGGGATCCGCGTAAGATGTAGTGCTTGCCCTTCTGAGGCTCATAGTCTCTCTCTAGGGAGATCAGCTATCCTCCCATGAACTAAGTAGAGAACAGTGTCAACAGTACCTTGGTCCCAACTCACAAACTGGTAGTATTCCAAAGCTTCCCTTATAACTGGTTGTTTGAAGCTTGGAAGCAATTTTTCTGGAGAAAAAAGTTATAAATTTTGATTGGGTTGCCACCCATAAAATTGAATTTAACCCATAACGAGGCTGAAATACTATATATATATGAAGTAAAAAAAAAAAAAAGAAAGAAAAGAAAATGACGTTGTTGCCATAGTAGTAATTAAACAAGCCAGGAAAACAAGAGCTTACTTATGAACAGTCTCTCTAAAGCTGCTGCTTGAGGAATGAGGAATACGTACTGTCATGCACATAAAATCAGGGGCGTGTGGCTGGAATAGGGTAGGTGGTCTGTTAAGGAGGGGAAAAGGTGGGCCAGAGCTGTCCTAACAGCGTCTTCCATTTGCAGACCACCATGGGGCTTACAAAGTGCTTCCCAATCACAATCTATCACGCTGGGTCCCCCCTGTTAGGTAGCTAGGCAGCTCGTTGGAATCCCATTTCTGAGGTGAGACATTGGGGCAGAAAGAGAAGTCACCTGTCCACTTTCCAGCGCTGCCCGGTGTCAAGATTTCACGACTGTTGGCACTCTTTCCACCCAAGGGCACAGTGAGGAACTTTCTGATGGAGAGGCTGGGTCACCGACTCCTCCCTGTCGCCTGGGTCCCAGCGTTTTAAAGCCCCTTACTTATATGCTGGCGTCATGATGCCAGACGGGAGATCACACACGCGAGCGGATCGCAAGCTGACCCCTGGCACGCACTGGGCCCCTGCAGCCCCAGGTCCCTGTGTGCGAGGGGGTAGAAGGGGTTGTGGGGATTCAATGAGAAAACCGTGCTTGGCATGTGGTAAAAGCACACGTTGGCTACTGTTCTATCTTTACAGTCACACATATGGAAAAGTGAAGAAGAGAAGAGACTCAGCAGGTGCTCCCTCTTTCCACACGGTGTGGAGAGATGGAAAACACATAAGGTTGTACTAAAAAGCAAATTAGGGGATGACATGTACAATGTGGAGCCACACACAGCCACACACGTTACTCATGAAAACACACATGCTTGCAAAATAAATATTCTGGAAGGAGATGTGCTGAATTCATGACAGTGGTTGTCTCTGAGGAGAGGGTGAGGAATGAGTTTGCTGATGGAGAACAAAGGAGGCTTCAACATTAACTGGAGTGTTTTATTTCTTCGATTAAAATAAAAAAGACTAAGTGTATGTGAAAAATATTAACCACAGTCAATTCTGGGGATGAGTATGTGAGTGAATGTTGGAATACTTCTTATTCTTTCCTGCATTTTAAACAGTTCTTGAAATAAATTAAAAAAGAGGGAGAAGACATTAAAACGGTGTATTTATGTGAGAAAGCCCTTGCCAGGGGTGGAATTACCCAAACTGCCAATATGAAACTTCGGGG